CAGCGTAGATAACTTTCTGAGACTAATTATATGGAAAAATATTTAATGGGAAAGTCTTTCCTTTTTTATTTTTCTCTCGATCCTTCGAAATAATAGTTTCTCCTTCAAAGGGCAATGCATTCGAAAAATATTTAATGTTCCGAGTCATGAAATCGCAAGATTTTCAATTCAAAAAATAGTTATCTAAGCACAATTCAAGATAACTACCACTGCATAAAAAAAAGATATGGCAACAGAGTTAACATTTTAATATATACAAGATTTAGATACCAGGAGGTTATTGTTTAAAAAGAAATGTAAAGTAGCCTTATGGTTTTATTAATACTTACATGGGGAGATAGAATCAAATTTATTAATTTGTTTCCGAATTGGATTTATCCAAATTTGCATGGTCAGAAAAAAAAAGTCAAGACAATTTTCCAACTCAATTAATTAAGTTACCTAACACCAAATTAATTACATTAGGAATTTCAAGGTCCCAAAACTTAATTTTGATAATACCATAATTATTTTAATTTTTATTCTTTTGTTTGTTTTAATTATTTTTAAAACTGCGTTTGAACGCATATAAAAAATGTGCTGTCGTTTGGTTTGTCTGTTGTTTCTTGAATATTTTTTCATGTTGTGAGCAGATCCCGAGGCCACTGCCTTTTTAGCCTTCTTTGAAGCTCCCTTGAAGCTGGTAACAGGGAGGAAGAATGAGAGAGGACAAGTGAGTAGATTAAGGTGATTAATAGTTGAAGTTTGGAATGTCGTGTGTTTGTTATGTATGTAGGTTTTTACTGTTTGTAAGTTAAGAAGAGATCTGTAGTACAAAAGATGAGACAGTTGTTTGTATCGTCTGGTCAGTTCTTGTTTTTTTTAATCAGTCTGTATATTCCAGGTGAGTTTTTGCCGAAGTATAGTCCGAGATAACCAACATTAGTTTTTGAGCTTTTAATTATTTTAATTGAATTAATCTTTTGAACAAATGACAAGTGGCTGTTAAAAAATCAGGTAGGATGTTAAAAAAGATAGGATGTTAAAAAATCACGTTTCTGACGGTATAATAAAATTGCATATCTGGTGGAACAATGACAAAACTGCAAATCATACAAATTTATAGGGAAGGCACAATGATTAGAATTACTGATATCAAAATAAATTATAATACAATTAACATATAGCTCATTTGGTAAAATAATGACGTAACAGCAAATAATAAAAATGTATATGTGAAGCAAAATAATTAGAATACCTAATATAGAAATAATATAATTGATTATCCAATAAATATCACAAAGGTTCTTCTATCCATTCAAATGCTGTTATATTATACGATAAGTATGTTCGATTACACGTAATTCTTTCTGACAAAGTAACATGATACAAATATTTTTCAAAATTTTACAGTAGCATCTTTTTCGACCAGAAGAGCGTTATGCAGCTATACATAGAATTTGGTATATATAACCCATCCTAGAATGTGAGTTGAATATTCCAAGAATCTAGAATAACAATCAACGGCTACCAGACGTTCGACGCCTCACAACAAGAAACACAGGACTTCCCGAGCTCAGTGCCACACGAATTGCTCATCTAGGGATACTGAAACTGGAGAATAGTGGTGGAGAATAACAATACGAGCATTGTCTATGCTGAGTCAAAATAGTATCAAGACTATGAGTTCCTAAATCGCTCAGATCCTTTTTTTTTTTTTTTTTTAACCTTGTGAAATATTGTTTTCATAATACAAAAAAATATCACTTAATAATGATTTCAAAGGTTGTAATTTCGTAACTACTTAAAAGCCGTATTTTAATTTTAGATGGAAACCTGAAGATACAGGATAATTATCATCGGTTCAATAATAATGCAGTTAACAAAGACGATGCTTTGAACGAAAGTATTTTTTCATTATATATATTCAAACCGTGTTTCTATACTTTTGTTGACATAAACTATGCGAAAGCTAGAATTAAAACCCACTACTAAATGGTAACATATAATTTATTAATTCAGAAATATTTTAAAGACAAGTTTTTAAGATACGAATATAGTTTTTTCTCTTTTATTTCTAGAAAATATTTTTGAATATTTGAACAAATGAAAACTCCTAACGAAAATCTGTAATAAATGAAAAAAATAAAAGAAGAATGGACGACAATTAAAAAAATAGATAAACGTGTTTTGGTAATTAATGGCAGGAAAAAAAATGAGATTTATGAAAGTCAAAGAGAGATTTATTAATTTAACAGTTAAAATGATATCAAATATAAGAAATTAGAGTTTAACAAATATCACAATAATGGTTGCAAATTTGTTATTAAAACAAGCAAACTTTCCTTCCCCTTCCCCCCCCCCACGTCTAACAATTGAGACAATTACTTTTCTTTGCAGAAAATAGAGGCCAAGGGTCCCAATTTGAAGCCTAACAAAATAAACCCTCCCAGGAAGGGAATCGAATTGTCGACATCCCTAGCTAGCGTCTATATTTATTCTAAAGTAATCTTCTCCAAGAAGGGTTCTTAAAGGCATGGAGTCAGAGGTCTACTAGATTGGTTGTGAACAACCTTTCATATCGTTATGATAACTAATAAAGTACACAAAAAGACGACAAGAATTGCATGCAAATCGTCGAATATGAAGCATTTTTGCCGCGTTTCGGTTTGTTTTCAACAGAACTTTATTTAAAACTTTAAAAAACTTATTAAGACCTTTGTGATACTGAAAACAATCTCAAAAATCAGCGCAATCCAATAATTTTAGCCAAAATTATGATTTTTCAATTATTATTTTAATAATTCGATTACTACATTTCACCTGATTCATTAAATTTCAACAATCTTCTGGACATATTTTACTTTTATTCAGCGATTATTTGATGGCATTTGCCTCAAAAATTTCATATAAGTAATAAATTAAATTTCTAAATTAAAAATAAGCTTACTTACCTAGATATTAGAACCAAGGAAAATTAGGGAAACAGATCACTCACCTGTAACATAATAAAAATTTCTTTAGTTCAATTCAAATCAAAATCAATTTAAATAAAAAATGTTCACAATTATTTTAGACAATAATTTAACTATACAAACTTTATTGTATTTTTTAAAATAAAAGCATCGCTTTAATTGTACTAATAAATATACATGATTAATATTAATTTTATATGTTGCGGAGAGTGTAGAGAAAAACCTTCTAAGCAAATATCGAAAGTCGCACAGCAAAAGTATGTGCACATTCTAAAAATATTTATTAATAATGTATCGTTTCAAACCTTGCTTCCTCCTCGATCCCTGATAACCCTCCGAGGCGTCTGAAAAGATGTCCTCGGGACCTTCTAATATAGAACTTTAATTTGAATTCTACCAATGGGTAGTTTCTCTTCATGTTGTACATGTCATGTTACCAATATAAAGGGGTTTTACAGGGGTCCACAGTTAGGCTGTCGATATATGAGCCTTTCAGTTGACAGAATGACTAGCTCCAATTTAAACATTTTTGAGTAAAGTCATTTTAGTTTATACTTCTAGTTGGAAAATTTATAATATCTGTACAGATAGTGAGTAAGTTTGTTGCCGTGTAGGTGATTGCATTGCTGAAACATAGAACTGCGAATAAAGGTATAGATTTTACAATTTAAAATACGTATATGCGAAGTAATTACTCCCTGATTAATTTTTATCTACTTTAATCAATGAAAACAAAAATTGTGTTAATGTGAATCTATATATTAATATATTTTTTCAGTTTTTATTTATTTCTTGAAATTCACAACTGCATTAACTAAATACAACTAGTAAATGTGAATGATCAAGAATAATGAAATGAACAGAGTTGTCAAGGTACTACCCAATGCTAGTAGCATTCTCTCAATAGTACTAAATAAGAAGGTCACGAGTCAATCTTCTTTCAGACGCCTGAAATCGAGGAATCGAGGAGGAAGTAAGGCTGGAAGAGAGTTCGAATGGATATGGAGTTTATCACGATAGGATGGGTAATCTGGATAGGGCGAAATCAGCAGCATATTAATTATTCTTGAAATATGAATAGCCATAATACTTTTAACTATTTTTTTATGCATCGTCAATGTTGAGTTATAAATATTGTATAAATTATAAATATTTTAATATTATAAAAATGCGTTGTGACTTATAAGTAAGTACCAAAGCACTTGATAGGGAAACCAATATAAACCTATTCGCAAACCACAGCAGATATTTATCAACCTATTTATATATGGGTAATCAGAATTATGATTACCAATATGTTCTTTTAATTTATGCCATCTCACTTTTTTTAAAAACGTAATTATTTTATATACATGACAAGGATATATAAATCATATATTATATGTTATAGGAATCGTTATTTAATAATACTATAATTTTATTAAAATTATGATTCAAAGTGATGCAACGATATTCGGGCTGTGTATGGCATATTTTTCGTTGTTTGTTTATTTTCAGTTTCGAACCGATCGAGGTACCATTGGAACCGTGAGAGGCTCCCGTTGCCATCCTGATCCCCCTGGGACAGGCGCAGAGCCGGCACTCACACAAGCGGCAAAATAAAAAAAATAAAAAACCTCATCTGGTTTTATCAGTGGTGGTGGCCAACCTGACCGGAACCCGCGGGGAGCCTAAATCACGCTCAAATTGAGACATATTGGTTTCCGAGGCATTTCTCCTTCCGGCCTAAGTTCCGTTTAGGATAAATCTCGAGCCTCGGTTATTCTTCTTACGGGATCCCGCACGATGAATCAATGAGGTCGGACACAGGGGTTAAATTATTACCTTTGATTTTTAAATATTATTTGAAAAAAATTAAAACATTTAACGTACGCGAGTAAGTGGTTCGCACGTACATTCTAAGCCAACACGAACTTCGATGTCTATAAAATTTTTTATAACGTATTTTTTAATACATTTCATACTTCAAAAAACTTATAGTATCGACACAAAACATTTAAATTGAGATTATTAATATTTATATAATAAATCATTAAAATTGCATACCATTAATGATTTTGATTCTTCTGTTCCATAAATAATGATTACATAAATTTTCATCAGATTCCATTAGCTAGAATTCGTCAGATTCAGTTAGTAGTTGGAAAAACTTAATACGGTCTAACCCTATGGTCTTACAAAAAAAATAATAATAATACTAAAATAAATAACTAAAGAGTCCATCTCTATAAAAGGATACAAAAATTAAAACAATTAAGAATTCAATTGGAATTTTATACACTGTACGTGAAAAACAAAAGTGAAAATTGAACGATTTGTTTACAGCAAGTTAAATAGTCAACAAAAATGATACCGTTTATTCGTTTCAAACTATTTTTTGATTATTATTTAATATTAGAAAATCATGAATTATAAATAATTTTAATAAGGAGAAAGGTTTAGCACCAGTGACGCAGTTGAGAGAGAAGTGCAGGGATCTCCTGGAGTCTAGATCTACGTCATTTCTGGAGGGACCATGACGTTGTACCATGGGACCATGGGACAGTAATGACGTTGGGGAAACTCTTAAATATCAGGACAATTTAATCTTTCTCTGAGAAATTAATGCATACAGTAATAATTAATACCTAATGGAAGACTTATTAAGCCTTGAAAATGGCTCTAGTGATGTTTAAAACGTCGTAATAAAATAGCGTCGTTATAAATAAAATGTTGGTGAATAATGGCCTAATTTATATAACAAATAAAACCTTAAGACACCAATTCTAGGAATAATGAACAGAAGACATAAACTTTTTAATTATGTCGGAATATTAATAAAAGCTGACATTTTATTTACTGTCGTCTTTTACACTTAATTTTCTGTGTTATATTTATTTATATTATTACTTATTATTATTTTATTTTATATATTTAAAAAATGACTATTTTGTTCAGACTAATATAAATGGAAATACAACAACTTGGTTTTCATTCCAATCTAATTAGCTAGGAGTTGTAAAGCTGATATAATTCGATCGAGTTCTATAGGTGTTTCTGTTTGCCTTCAATAAAGGATAGGCAAACTGCCGGCAGAGTCCCGTACGCTGATCAAAGCGAGAATACATTAGCTCTGCACACAGCAACTCGGAGCGTCCATAGAATTACCCCTGGTATTGCTGAGAGAATTTCATAATGGGTCACAACTTCGTCATCCCAAAATTTTTATTTTGTTTCTTTCCAACAAAGGTTTCGTGACAACCTTTTTTCCCCAACGGTCTTGTCACACAGCCCGTCTGTCCAGATTATTCTACTCAACCATTTATCACACAGAACAAACAGATCCTTTTATGTCCCGAGAGATTCGGAGTGGCATTGTCAGAGTCGCCAGAAGTTGATACACACATTGAATAATATTCCTTTCGAATAATATTAGCGGCTTCTTTGTTTTTTATAAGAGGAAAGTAGAATGCCTTCAATAACATCTGAATTTTGTACGTGGAAAATATAATAAAGAAATACAAGATTTTGAAAAAAAAAAATAATAGTGAGATCCAAACGAACATATACATTTTTTAAGTGAAAAACAACTATTTTTAATTTAATCTATATTTCAAGAATTATAGAAATTTATTGGAATTCTCAGAAATTGAATATAAAACAAATTATTAACATTCGCCTAAAACTTCGCAAAAGGCTTCTTCTCACCGTAACCTAAAAATATTATTTTATTTACGAAATCTCGGAATTGGGGAGTTTTGAATCTGGAGGTCGGTAAACTTTGTCTATTTAATTAGGTACTAAAACCTATAAATACCCGTTTACTTACCGCTTGGATCATAAGATAATTTGATAACAAAATAGATTAAAAATGTGACCTACAAAAATCTTAGACCGTTTGGCCTATATCACCTCGTTATTTTGACAATTTGGAGGTGTAGGTCAAACGGCTCAATATTTTTAGACCACCTTTTTTATCAATTGTATGCTCAAGTCATCTTATGATTCAAGTGGATAGGAAATGGGTATTTACGAGTTTTTTGTACATAATTTAATAGACAAAGTTTGCCGATTCCCAGTTTGAGAACTCCTCAATTCTCAGAATTTTTGTCAATAAAATATTTGTAAGTTACGATGAGATGAAGATGTTTACCAATTTTTTGGCGGATATTAATAATTTGATAAAAAGGGGTCTGTACCACGGAGTTGCAACTAAACTATTATTTCAACTCTTTAGTTTAAAAAAAATTAGAAATATGTACATTTTAATCAATACAAAATAAGTTGCATTAATAAATCAGAAATAGAATTTGTTTATATATTATATAGATGTAACTTAGCAGTTGGGAACTAATCCACAAAATATGCAAAAATGAGTTAAGAGATGGTTTTGAATAGGATGAGTGCATATCTAACACTGCGTGTTATGCATATTTCACTATCTTAATCGGCAGAACTACTTTTCAATATTTTATAAGACGTAATCGACCATTGTATACTGGAAAAAATAGCGTTTTTTAATTTATTACATTTGAACTGAATTATAACGAAGAGAATCAATTCAAAATAAGTTTAAAGTTCCTTTTAATGAGATTAATTTTTATTGTTTTGAACAAAAAACAATTCGCCGTTCAGATTTAGAAATTAAAAAACAAAGTTAAATAAAGATTATAATAATAATATGTGAGAATATATAAAATGTAGAATAACAACAAGTTTGCTACAGAAAAGAAAATCTAATCTTTTGAAACCTATCTAATTTTACAAGCTACTTAATTTCGATTATCGTTTATTAAAAACATTTGCAATGTGGGGTTCTGTTAAATACCAGAGATATGCTCAAATGAAAATAAATATAATATGTATTCCTATTTGTGATACTATACCTGTTTCTCACTAAGATACTTTATGAAATGTAAACTAGCTTTCATGTAACTGACATACGATCAGCACACTCAAAGAAACCTCCTTGATTTTCGCAGAAAAAAAAGCAATATTAAAACGAAAATTCTTATTGAATATATGCAAACATTTACATAGAGAGTTGATTAACTTTCTAATCAAAAGAAATTGTCCTGAATAATTTTGAAAACCCAAAGTTTCTATTGCGTGTGTATTTACGATACTATAATACATAAAAAGTTTCTTCAAAATTATCATAACATTCCGAACAGATAATTGTTATTTATCTGTATTTAGGAATAATTGTTGGTATTAGAAGTGCCCAGCTGATTGCTAAGGAAAAACTAAAATAGAACGAAGACTTAAATATAAATTATGTAATCTCAATTTTGTTCTTATTTTCCCGAGACACTTTAAATTCAAATTAATTTTATGGCATACCTAAAAAAGATACTTATTGAGAAAGTTCTTCTAACAACCGTAATAAACTTCCTATATAAAACTGCTGAGCACTTCTCTTCATGATTAAAGTGTGAAGTAAAGAAAGGAGGAAAAAAAAAAATTAAATGAGGCAGACAATCGGAACCCTTTTTGAAATAAGTGTCGTTTAACAACCGCAGGGTTTCAAAAGGAAAAGAGGGTGGCAGATAAATCCACAACCTCAAAAGAATTTTTCAAATTAAATGAAATTAATAATTAATTTATCCGTTATAAAACCAGTTGAAGGGAAGGGCTCGCTTAAAGAGATAAAAAAAAAAAGAAAAAGAAAATGATTAAAATGAATCTGTTGTCCTAAATGGGAGGGGGAAGGATTAGGGTAAATTAAAAAGACCAGTAGCCATCAAAGGGATAAAAAGGAGAAGGGATTTATCCCATGTTATAATGGGATTTCGGCTTAGTCGCTTTCTGGAAATTACTTGGCCGTCTGCTGAGGGGCGATAGCTTCCACCGTTCTTATCCTCCTTCCCCTGTCCGTCTGGGGAATAATCGTCCGGGATCTATGGCGTCTTCTGAGACAGAAGTTCCCGAGAGATGGCTTTTCATTGTCAGCTGGAGGCTCTCGGTTCATCATTTTAAACTGACCAGACAGATGATTAAACCAAAATATAGAAAATATCGAAATATAGAAAAGCAAGGAATGTTACAAGGAGGTGCCTGGTTTTTTTTTGGAATAAATTCAAGGAATCGTAGAAATTGTTAAGGATAATGGATTTTCGAGTGAACTGGAAAATGTGGTTATTCCAAGAGAGATTCTGATCAAAGATTATTCCGAGGTTTTAGATTTTTATAACAAAAGATTTATTACAAAAGATTTATAACAAAAGAGACCTTTTTATAACAAAAATGATAATAAACGTACTGACAATCAGTGACAAGCAAATGATATTTCATAAATGGGGAAGAACGGTACCCACCTTTATTCTTAGGGGCTGTAATGGGATGTACCGTCATTTTTATTATGATATGGTACAGATGTTTATTGGGTATTTGAAAGAACAAGTGGACTGTATGAAATTGATTATAATTATATTTAAACAGTATATAAAGATGGGGGTTTGGCGTATAATGGTTCTACAATTGTTTACTTGATGTGGCTGGTACGGTGGTCGGTATCGGTGGTCGGCCGGCTGCAGTAATTCCTCACCTCCATGTGTCCGGTGGGTCTCGGTGTTCTACTCGATGCCTCTTCCCATGGTATAACAGCAAGAAAGGTGGTCTTGAAGAGGCTAGAGTGTTCGTCTACTTCGTGTGTCAGTCGCCCATTTTTCTCCCACCACCACTAAATTTTGTGCATACAGCGCCACCGTCGCTGCAATGTTACCAACTTCACCGGTCTTTTATGCACCCCATGAAGGGGGGGGATAACCTCAATTTAGGGTGATCAACCCTAAACAAACCGCCCATCTAAATTATGCTTAATAATTTAAAATAAAGAAAAAATACATTTGTATGGTACCTTGGTGAGCTTCAATCAAGAGAAAACAGAAACAAATGTTAATTGAGGAAAATTTAATGCTAAAATAAATGGATTACTTGAGATACAAGGCATTGAATAAGCAATGAATAAAGTAGAGATAGAAGAAAATTAAATAAATACGATTCCTTGAATAAGTGACATTAACAGACTAGAAAAAGTTAATGGAGTCCTCACTCCTCTGAGTGATCTTCCATGTAAGAGGAATAATTAAAATTTGTTCAAAACTCTGTTTTAGGAATGTTCTTGAGATA